ACCTAACAACTAAACAATTGAAAATCTAGGGATCAATATTTAACATTCGTCAGCAATGAGCAATTTTCATAAATATAACATGATTTAGTCGAATACTTTGCGAGTAAAGAAAAAGAGACTACCATAGATTTGTTATTAACCCCAAATGCTTGATGGGTACAAATCAGTATTCAGGAGTTACCTTTTTTGCATTAAACCACATTACAACAGAAATTGGAAAATATGGCCTGGAAGTATTTCTATAAGACATTGTTGTTTTCCTGTTCTATGAAGCTTTCTTATTGGCAAACATGGTGATAGATTTTATAGATGCTGTCAGGCACCGACCATTGAAAACAATCGATCTGTTTAAAATAAGAAATGAAAATAACTGTTTGATGTTGTTTTTTTTTTTGGCAAATAAGAAAAATTACCGTTTGATTTAAAATTGTTTAAAATTATTTTGAAATAGATTTATGAAAATAATTTATTTACATGTGAAAAGGCTAGACTTTGTGGCGTAGGGATGTGATTGAGTGGTTTTGTTTACAATTATTTCCCATTATTTCGGCGGTGAAAATCTGCAATAATTATTTTTCATCATGTTGTGTGATTTACACATTATAACAAAACAAAGAATATGACGGGTGAATTTAGAGTTAGCTGTTTAAGGTCCAGTGGCAACTATTATATGTATTATTAGGAGGACATTTAAAATGTTATAAATATGAACAAGGACATCCTTTGTTATGCAAACATGTATCACGGCACAAGCGATGACCTATAGACCGTGTGTATCATATGTATATTTAGGGTGGGGTTGCTCCGAATAAAGGAGGTATAGATACAGGAAAATAAAGAAAAAAAAATATAAAATTAGAATAGAGTATAACGGGAAAAATAAAGAACAGAGGAAAATGGTATAAGAAAAATAAAGAATGGAGGGTCTAGTTTTTTTGCTGGACAATTGTTGATGATAGTTTAAAGTCAAGCGCATTTATAGTTAAAATAATACACAATCGTATGTACATCGGTAGGGATTTATGTTTAGGGTTGATGAGGCACATAACGAGTAATTGTTTTTATTTGAAATTTCTCGAATATTTGTTTTTTTTTCGACTGATTTGATAGATGAATAAAAAAAATCTATAATCTAAAAAAATTGGTTTAATTACGATATATGGATACAATTCAGTTGATTTTAAAATACATGTGATAAAAGAGTATACATAAAAATATTTAACAAACCTTTTGGACAAAAGGTCAACCTTAAGACCCCAAATAAACTTTTGTAAGAACATAAGATTAATTCCGAATTCCATCTTAAATCAATTGTTCATTTAGGTAAAAAAAATAATGTTAAGGTAGATTCATGGTATACCGCCATCTTGGATTGTACAATCGCAGTACACAATCGGTCTAGTTATTTGCTCAAATGTACAAATTTGGAGACAGATTTGCAATTCATTGGGTAGACTGTTTATTTATATAAGGAAAACTTGGTGATTCTTTGATTTATTCAAAATATTTAAACAAATATCAAATTTTGCGTTTTTAAAATCATTTTTTTTCAACTCAGCCATTTTAGGGGAGATAACTCTTTTAGTAAAAAATTATACTAGAATGATAGGGAAAATTTTAATTTTTACTTGTAGCAAGAAAACAAGTTCGGTGACACCATTTTTTCTTTTTATTTTCTTAAAACATATTATAAAACCTATCTTCTCACAATTTATTTCAAAATTCTATCTCATAGATTTCTTTTTATGCACACAAATGTGTTTTTTCATGAACAATCTAACCAAATTTAGGCAATTTTCAACGACTCATAGCTTGAAAAATAGCACGGTGACCCATACTTTATATTATATTTTTGAAAAAATCATAGTAAAATCTTCATTTTGACAAAGTATAAGAAAATTCTATCTCAAGAAATATATACCTATGATCTACCTTAATACCTTGGGCTATTTTCAAAAAATGTTGACGAAATACCATGCAGACTGCAGTTTACACGCACATTCACCAAGTACGTATATTTCTACGGCTAACAAAATTCATAATCGTATCTTTTAATTTGTTTAAATTTATTTCAGTGTTTATTTTTCAAACGTTTTATGTAAATAATTTTGGATCAACATCGAGTCAGATCAAATTATAATTTATTAAATTATTAATTAAAAACTGAAACATGCATCCAATCTAAATTTTACGCCTATTATCACCTATATAAAAAAATTAAACAGAACACCATTCATGTTTTATATTTAAAAAAAACATATACGCTAAACGAAACTATGCACTCCAAGAAACGATGTACGCTAAACGATACGATATACGCTAAACGAAACGATGTACGCTAATACGCTAAACGATACGGTATACGCTTAATGAAACGATGTACGCAAAACCATATGATGTACGATAAAAGGGCGCTTATGTTATCGTTTATGGTATGGTTTATGGTATATGGTTTCGTTTGTACATCATTCGTTCAGCGTCCGTACAACGTTCGGTCAGCGTTTCGTTTGCATTCGTTCACCGTTCGGGCAGCGTACGTACATCGTTCGGGCATCGTCCGTACATGATTCGGGCATCGTTCGTATTGTTAACTTTTACGTTACACGGACTGTAATATATATAATAGTTGGCATGTTCAAAGTTCCTTCGCAAATTGTAGAAGTGCACGAATCTGAAATACTGTCGTGATTCACATTATAAGTAAACGTAAATCACACATAACATTAATGAAATACTATCCAAACAGACATATCAAATATGAAGGTAAGATGTGAAGAGTGAAATTGTCTTCGTCCTGAATTATGCTATGTTTAAAAGCAAAACTATTCTACAATTAGAACGTTGTGAAAATATTACTAACTAATTCGATATTTCAAATGAAGGCAACTTTATACAAAACTGGTATGGAGTTAACGTTAGTGATTACAGAGAAATTTTAAGATTTGAATTTTTAAATTCTAATAAATTAACAAGCGGATTTATATGTTGACCTTAACTATATACCAAAATAGTTCAGAGATAATTACTTGCAGAAATAAAAATATCGTAAAACAAATTAATTTATTTATATCAGGCTTTTTTAATTACTGGACAACAGCAATTAACAAAAAAATTAAACATGCTACATATAGAGACCCCGCGGAACAAGTGATCAGAATGCTGAAGTTTCTTATTGACAACATATTTGTTGAATTTGGAAGAAGATTTTTTTTTATCATCGGCATTCCTATGGAAACGAACTGTGCGCCTCTCCTTGCCGACCTTTTCATATGAGTCGGAGTTCCTCCAGACACTTGTCAAAAACAAAAAGATCAAAGAAGCCAGATCATTTAATTTCAAATTGAGATATATTGATTATGTTCTTTCCCTTTACAATCCAAACTTGTCTGATTGGGTTCCCTTAATATATCCTTTGTTGATATCTCTACATATTTTTATTTGAGTCGGAGTTCCTTCAGACACTTGTCAAAAACAAGAAGATCAAAGAAGTCAAACTGTTCTGATTGGGTTCCATAAATATATCCTCCAGAACTAGAAATTAAAGAAACAACAGACACGGCTTCCTCTGCCTCATTTTTAGACTTATACCTCGAATACGAAATAAGCGGTCAACCCATTCTAGAATCTATGACAAACGAGATGATTTTGATTTCCCTCCAGCGTAGTACCAATATACCAACTTCACCTGCATATGGGATATACATTTCCCAAATCATTCTGTATTCAAGAGCTTGCAGCTGCTACACAGAATTTATAAAACTTCACCAGTGTCTCAGAAGAAATTTGATGAACCAGGGTTATGTCAAAGAACGTCTCGTACTTTTTCTTAAAAAGTTCATCGGAAGATACCAAGGACTTGTTGATAAATATTCCGTATCAATTTCACAAATAATACATGATGGTCTTGAAGTATAGATTCTATGTACTAACGTTGTTTATCATCTTATTCATGGTAAACACGTGTTATGGTGTTCTTTTATTTATCTTTGGATACATTAACGCTTTTTATTAATTTCGAAACCAAAAAAAGAAAATTATAAAAAGTGATCAAATAAGTTCCTTAAATTGAATAAAATGAATAGAATAAGAATAGTACAGATAGAAATGACATCGCATTTGCTGATAACACAACTTTAATTTTGAATGAAGGTCCAAAATCCTTAAAGGAAGCTTAAGCTGAATAAGATTGTATGCAACAAGTTCAAGGCTTGATAATAATTCAAAAATTATATTTTTAATTAGAAAGCTAGTTGAAAGTTTTTCATGTGAAAGTAGATATTTATCGTGGACCATTATAGCTTTGAGGATAGTGGATATTATTATAGCTATTGTGGATGATGATCTGGATATAATTATTAAGTTTTACTGATAAACGATCTAATTAAGACATGGTAAAAATACAAACCATTATGTAATAGATAAAATGATTTAAAAAATGTGTTTAACCTTTTGGTAAATCACTCATCATAAATTATTTTTATACCTGTCCTAAATCACCTCATCATTAACTTGCATTAACCAAATAAAAAACTTGTCAGAGGATATTTATGAACTTTTGTTTAACATTATTTGAAATTAACCTTATAAAAGACTTAACACAAGATCTGAACTGCGTCGGATAGAAATCACCCTTATCCAAGGAATATCAATACATCTGTCAACCAATTTCGGGTCGAAAAAATCTCTATGGCACGTCAGTAACTGTTTGAACATATAGTTGTTATAAGAAACCTACAAAACAGAGCAAAGTTCCTCCTCTTTTTCGTATTTGAATGTTCCAAAATCAATCAAATTCTTATACATTGCGACTAAGAAAGTGCATCACGTGATTTAGATTTTAAGATATTAATAACCAGTTATTCAACAGGTGAATTCAGGCAGAGGTAGTTATAAAGGTGTGTAAATATTAAGCTAAGAACATTGTATTGAAAATGAATTTGATTGTTGTCTGAGCCGATTAAACAAACGATGAGATTCTTGGTAAGAACAACATTCCATACCTTATTTACTTTGTTTGGATCTATATCTGTTCTTCCTAATAACAACTGGACTATGCCGATGTGTCCACCTTTTACCGAACATTGTAAGGGAGTGTAACCACACTGAAATAGAAAGGTTGACATCTTCAGAGTATCTGTACACACATAAACAAATGAGCGATTTTCCAGAAATAATTTGATTATGAAAAAATAATCACTCTTAGCCAACAATACGCTAAGTCAAATTCTGAATTTGGAGACACTTTTTTTTTAAATTATAATTCCTCTAAAACTATACGGCCATACGTATAACAATTGGGAACATATATCATTGATTTAGAACAAGCTATCAAAATAATTCCAAAATCAGAATGGAATGATGGGTAAAAATATTAATAACGTATTCGATATTTCAAATGAGGTCAAATTTATACAAACTTGATATGGAGTTAAAGTTTGTGATAAAAAAAAAACCTTTAAGATTTACATTTTTAAATTCAATTAATTATCAAGCGGATTTAGATGGTGACATTAACATGATACATGTTGAGACCTTTAATGTATACACAAATAATTCAAAGATAATTGCTTGCACTGATTAATTCATTTATATCCGACTTGTTTAATTACTGGAAAACAGTAGATTAATTCTACAGTATACAGAAGAAAACAAATATTTGCTCTAATCTGATTTGACAACATCTGGAATGTTAAAATTTCTGCTAAAAATATACAAAGGTTGAGCGATAGGAACACTTGTTTATACAGCCACTTTGTATTGTAAAAAAATCTAAATATAGAAACCGTTAATGACAGCAGCTGTGCAAAATATTGTGGAAAAAAACATTAATGAACATATTCAGTAACTTCAAAACCAAATTTAGAAATTTATTAAAAGTGATCAAATTAATTCGTTGATATAGAATAAAATCAATTGAATAAGAATAGTACAGATAGAAATGACACAACGATATAATATAAGTCATCACATTTTGCTGACAATACAAATTTAATTTTGAAGGAAGGTCCAAAATTCCTAAGAGAAGCTTGAGCTGAATAAAATTGTAGGCAAAAAGATCAGGACTTGATATCAATTGAAAATTGGATTCTTAATTAGAAATCTAGTACAGATTTTCTTTTGTCAAAATAGATATGTATCGTGGGCCACAATAACTATTGTGTATGTTGATATGGATAGAATTATTTATTTTTACCGGTTTACGACCTTATATAATATGGTAAAAAAGAAACCAGTCAGTAATAGATAAAAAGATTTTAAAAAAGTATTTAAACTCATTCTAATCACCTCATCATGAACTTTTATTTTACCTGTCCTAAATCACCTCATCATTAACTTGCCTTAACCAAATGACAATTATGTTTGAGACTATTAATGAACTTGTGTTCACATAATTTGAAATTAACCTGTAAACAGACTTAAAACAAATCTGTTTAAAAACAACTATAGTGAAGGTAAGTTCAAAATGATAGCCCTGAAGAGTAAAACATACAAATAATCAAATATTGCTTAAAAAAAAAGATATGTCATTTATATAAGTGACGTATTCAGAGTAAAGTTATATTGGTTTGAATTAAACGATGTTACAATCAAGCATTTCCAGGAGAGAAAAAAAGAGACGATAGGGAAACTTGTTACTAACCAATTTCATATTTGAAAATAGAAATATATAAAACAAATAGTAATGGATGTAAAATTGCGATTAAGAAAGAGCCTTATCAGATATAAAATGTAAGATATTAGATAATAGTGGTTCGACAGGTGAATTTAGACAGAGGTAGTAATACTAATGAAACTGTCAAAATCAAAATCAACGGTTTTTTTTCAAATTTAAAAAGAGTTTTCTCATATATAATGGGACTTGTTTTTAATCTGTATCATATGTTTTGTTTCGGTGAATTTAATTTGTTGCGTTCATGTTTTTTGCAACAAAATCACATCTGTATTTATGCAGGATTACTATCTTAAGACTATTCAAATACGTAGTGGCTGTATATACATGACGTTTGTTTTTGTTATTGCTGCTACATAGGGCTTTACCCCTTTGATATTAAGTATTTTGCAGAGATGTGTATTGATTTGATAAGCAACATTGTGCTGACATTGATTTTGATGTACAATTTAACAAAGTCTGACAATCCTGTAAAGAACTTCATGCAATACCTTATTTTCGCTATTCGGATCGATCTCTGTTCTTTCTAATAACAATTGAAGTATGTTGAGGTGTCCACCTTCAGCAGCTGAGTGAAAGGGAGTATCACCATCCTGAAATAAAAAGGTTGCAATTTTCATAGTATCATATGCTGGTATAAAAAAGAATAACCTCGTAGATTTGATTTGAGAACAAAAAAATAGCGTACGCCAACAATTTGCAAAGTAAACTTGAATTTAAAGACCGTTGTTTTAGATCACGTGTCACTTAAAACAGTAAATTTGTATTCATTTAAGAACGTGTGTACATAAACAATGCTCAGGATGATGTTTTTAGAATCCCATCTAAATAGATAAAGATTGCAAGTTATCAAGCCGAAAGTAAGTTGTTCTCTCTGTTTACTACAGCTTCCTCTAACAGAAACTGGTCGCTATGATAATAGACAATATCACCGAACAGGGCTTTAAACGTCAACCAATAAATAAACAAACAATATCATGGGAGTTTGTCTGATACTCATAGTATAACAGATAGTTTCATTACGCAGACATCAAGTCAGAGTTCTCAATAAAGGCCATACAATCAGATAAGACGTAATGAAAGCTGTCAAAAGTATATACCAGAAACACATAACTTGCTAACATCTACGTCATTTGGTCGTTTGGTACCATGTGTAAAGTTGTCTCATTGGTAATCAAATCACATCTTCTTATTTTCATAAAGATCAGAATATATGTATACTAAAAGGCAATAGCAGTATACCGCTGTTCAATAGTCATAAATCGATTTAACTGAAACAAATCCGGGTCACTAACCAAAACTGAGGTAAACACATCAACTATAAGAGTAAACAAAACGGAACAACAGAGACACTGAACTGCTACAAAAACAAACGCCAACATACATAGAAACGGACTATGTGATAACAACTGCCATATTCCTGACTTGGTACAGGACATTTAAAGAAAAAATGGTGGGTTGAACCTGGTTTTATGGCTAACCAAACCTCCCGCTTATATGGCAATTTTAAAAATACCGCTAAAATGACAACATTACGTGACTGGAATACAGTACAAATAAATGCAAGAACATTCAGGACAGAGAAATACATACATATATAATATAATAGATATAAGAAGATGTGGTATGAGTGCCAATGAGACAACTCTCCATCCAAGTCACAATTTGTAAAAGTGAACCATTATAGGTCAAAGTACGGCCTTCAACACGGAGCCTTGGCTCACATCGAACAGCAAGCTATAAAGGCCCTAAAAATGACTAGTGTTAAACCATTCAAACAGGAAAACCAACGGTCTAATCTATATACAAAACGAGAAACGAGAAACACTAATGAACCACATCAACAAACGACAACCACTGAACATCAGGTTCCTGACTTAGGACAGGTGCAAACAAATGCAGCGGGTTCAAACGTTTTTATAGGCGCCAACCTTCACCCTACCTGAAACAATAGTGTAACATCACAACATAGAAAGATACACTATAAAATATCAATTGAAATGGCTTAACTCAATAAAAAGACATATTAACAAACACAAGTGAACATACACTGAACGAATAAATTTGGTCTATGACACAATATGAATACAAAATTAATAAAACAAGGGGTTAGATGTAAAACAATATCAAAAAGACAACCATAACCTTGGACAAAATGCCGCCAAATAAAATAACGAACTCAGGTAAATAAAAAAAATTTTGATATAAGGTATACATGGAGTACGGAAATAATTTTTACAAAATGAATAATTTTGTTGTTCCTAGTACGAGAACAATCTTGAAAATAGATCGTCATACTAAACACTTATCAAAGGTGGTATATATTATATATAGTGAGACTAGATATAACACTGGATAAGTAAACATTAAATAACACAAATACATTACAAATTGTATCAACAGGTCAAATTAATACGAAAGTACGATTTGAGAGTACTTGCAGTTACTGAAAGCTAGTTAAAAGCAAAAAAAAATTAATCATAAAAAACATGCATCAGAGACTAAAATCAACTAAATCCCATCCCAGGGATTAAGTGTTTTAACGTCATGGACAGTCAAAGAAGACATGACTTGTGCCATGCCAAAATAAAAGTATCAACAGGCAGTAGGATAGTTAGGAGTTAACCTGTTAATAAATATGTGTAATGTAATATATAGAAAGAGTAATATATATATATAGTAAATGAACGTGGATGTGTATGTATACATCATAGTCCATTAATAGTTCATTTGAACATGTAAACCACCGAATAACAACAAACACCTAAAATTAATTTACGACAGAACACAAATACAGCACAAAAACATCATTTGTCTTTTGTTGCATAACTTTAATTCTTTTTTCAAAGTACATTCAAAAAATTGTTGCTTATCATATAGACAAAATTTGTACTGCTATCAAGTTTGATGGCTGTCTCAAACGAATTACCAATCATACTACCCGACCCATCCATTCATACCCTATCTCTTTTTATTCCATTCCATTCGTATTTCCGTATAACAATTGTACTATTTCCAGTGTTCCTTTCCTATTTTCAGCAGCTATGCGTTAAACAAAGTTGCAGTCATAACATATTATTGTTGACATGCTCACAGTTCCTTGGCAAACGCGTTGAAATGCACGAACATTAATGATGGACTGTCGTTATTCACATTTTAAGTATATGTAAATCACACGTAAAATTAGTTTAATACTATTTAAACCTAGACATATTAAATCTTGAAGTGTTACGACCAACATAATTCCAAAATCAGAACGGAATGATGGAGAAAGGTAAGTATAACTATTTCAATATTTCGAATGAGTCCAACTTTATACAAAGCAGTAATCTTAATTTTATGTAACGTTAGTGATTAAGAAAGAAACTTTAATATTTAAATTCAGTAAATTATCAAGTGGATTTAGATGGTGACATACCAACATGAGA